TTCCCATGCGGTAGAAGTCAGGACAGCTACTCAAAGAAGAGTTGTAGGTATTAATAAGATGTACACAAAATCGGCCAGGTGAGGTTGGCTCACTCCTGGTAATCCCAGCGCTTTGGGAGGCGATGGGAGGGTGGATCACGACGGTCAGGAGATCAAGACCATCCGGCTAACCGGGTGAAGCCCGTGTCACTAAAAGATACACCAAACATTAGCCAGGCATCGGTCGTGGGCACCTGGTAGTCCCAGCCTACTCTGGGAGGCTGAGGCACCGAGAAATGGCGTGAACCGGGAGGCGGAGCTTGGCAAGTGAGCCGAGTCATGCCACTGCACTCAGCTGGGTGACAGAGCTAAGACTCCATCTCATTGAAAAAAAAAAAAGAAAAAAGATGTACAAAAATCAGCACAATGCCTGATCCACAGTAGCCATTTAATTAGCTTTTATTATCCTCTCTTTGTTTTTATTTGTTTTTTAAATGTATTCACTCTAATAAAGCCACATACCCTCTCATAAGCCAATTTTTTACATTTATGAAAAGAGAGAGAATATGGCTATCTCAGGGTCTCAGGAAGTTTTAGTTTAGTTAAATTTCTTAGAAACCCTGCTGCTGACAGGCATGAGTCAGTCGTGTTTCAAAGTCAGTGTGAGCTACTCATGACTACTAATCTCCCCAACATGAGTCCACACTCAGTGAACTCCTGTAGGCCTTGGGGGTGTAGACCTTGAAGACAGGAAAACTGATCAGGAGATCCCTGCCATGAAGCAGCATAGAGATCCCTCAAGGACAACAGGACATCTGGGTAAGACAATCCACAAGAATGTAAATAATGGGGTTCGGACAATATTCATGCTACAGTTGAAAAGAGGGCAAGGTCTGGGACAGTCATTGGGATGGGGTGGGCATTCTAGGCAGAGGGTCCGACTCCACAGGCGGTGGTGGTCAAGACCAGGACTTACGTGGGGAGGCAGATGCAGGAGCGCAGAGGGCTGTAGCAACGAGGATGACAGCGAGGGCAGCCACGGAGACCTTCATGGTACCTGTGGGAGAGGCTGTGGGAGGTCCACGTGCTGTCACAGGATCCTCTGCAGGAATCCTCTGCAGCTCAGGCTGGCTCTTTATAGGGCCAGTTAAGGGGTACCCCCTAAGGGGAGTTTCCAAAATAGCAACCAAGCATTGGCCGGTATCATAAGTGAAATTGCACATAACGGAAAAGAAAACTGAAATAGCCTCCGGAAATTCGAGTCTCTGTCTCCCCCTCACTGCCCTCTCATCTAGAGTGAGCTCATCAGTTTCCCCTTTGACCAAGCACCAATGGTGGAAACCCTTCTCTGCTGACATCCTTAGTTTTACCTTCCAGGGAAGGGGTCCTCCTCAGAGAACAGTAAGCTGCTTCCTTGGGGACAACAAGGACAGGCAGTTAGAACAGAATCATAAGTCACTAAGTCTTTATTACTCACTGAGTCACTGAGTCTTCAAAGTTCCTGCTTATTCATTACAGATCTTATCTCCTTTCCCTCATCCATGGAAGGATGTTATTTATAAGGTGTTTTATTGAGGAGGGTGCTCTGGATATACAGTCCCCAAAGGAGGTGAGCACACTCACACTGTACATTGAGGCAGTGGATCTGAGCTGGGCATTAGGGACCTTTTCACCAGATATGAGCTGGAATGAGTCCTCTTGTGGGAATTTCTTTCTTTCATCCTGGCCATAGGGTCTCTCCCATTTACTTGCTAAGTGACCTTTGGGAAAAGTGCTTAATGTCTTTGAGTTCTATTTCCTTGTTTATAAAGTAGAATAATTGATTAGAGGCTTGTTGAGAAGCAGAGAGAGAAAGAAAGATCTCTTACAGCATACTCTACCATTATTGGCTACCATTTACTGAGGGCTTATCTGTGCCAGCCACTACTCTACCGGCTTAGCGTGTGTCAACTCATTTACTATTATTATCCCCACTTTATGAATGAGGAAACTCAATATAATACTGGGATCCCATCTCACTGAAGGCCTTCTTGGGCACAAAAGTTACAGAATATGAAAGCTTCAAAGGACTTTAGGGATCCATTTTTTTTCCATGTTCTTCAGTTGCACAAGAGGAAATCAAGGCCCAGTGAGCAGGAGTGACTTGCTAAGAACACACAGCAAATGAATGACAGAGATCATTCATCAGAATGATCAGAACGCAGTTGCCCTCGCTCCCACTTGGGTGCTCCGTCCATTAAGTACTGCCCAACATTAAAGGGTTCGTGGTTAGGAGTATCCTCAAAACTGAACCCATGTGGAACTTCTGGATTAGAGCCGGGGTCCTTATTCCATTCCAAAGAACTGGATATAGTAAGTCTTTATCAATTCCTATTTTAGTAGTTAACAATTAGCAACAATTTGATCTGGGCTAGGCTGAAATTGGCATCTGAATTATTATTATAATTATAATTATTATTATTTTTGAGATGGAGTCTTGCTCTGTCGCCCAGGCTGGAATGCAGTGGCGTGATCTCGGCTCACGGCAAGCTCTGCCTCCTGGGTTCATGCCATCATTCCACCTCAGCCTCCTGAGTAGCTGGGACTACAGGTACCCACCACCACGCCTGGTTAATTTTTTTGTATTTTTAGTAGAGACAGAGTTTCACCGTGTTAGCCAGGATAGTCTCTATCTCCTGCCCTCATGATCCACCCACCTTGGCCTCCCAAAGGGCTGGGATTACAGCCATGAGCCACCGCGCCTGGCCGGCATCTGAATTATTTAAAAGAAAAGTGTTTATTGAGAATGACAAAAGCAAAATAAACAAAATGTAACCCTCTACTGAGATCATTTTCTGTTTGCTACTCTCACACTTGTAACATGGTGGTTGAGGGTGACTAAATCACCCAGAATGGGAAGACTTTGTCACATTTCTTCCTCACGATGACTTTGAGGCAGAGTGGTTATTACTCTCATTTGACTAAAAAGGAAACTAAGCTTCAGAACAGACAGCATCTTCAAGCTCAGGCAGCTGATAAGTGGGATTTGAAGGCAGGTGTTTCTGATGACCATGCCCCAGCTCTGACCAGTGAATCACATCAGTAAGGCAGTTAAGAGTTATCAAGGCCTTTCTAGGTTTCAGCTGCTATTCCAAGCCTTTTTTTTTTTTTTTTTTGAGACAGAGTCTCACTCTGTTCATCAGGCTGAAGTGCGGTGGTGCGATCTCGGCTCACGGCACCCTCAGCCTCCCAAGTTCAAGCAATTCTCCTGCCTCCTGAGTAGCTGGGATTACAGGCATCGCCACCATGCCTGGCTAATTTTTGTATTTTTAGTACAGACAGGGTTTCACCATGTTGGCCAGGCTAGTCTCAAACTCCTGACCTCAGGCGATCCGCCCACCTTGGCTTTCCAAAGTGCTGGGATTACAGACGCGAGCCACCGCGCCAGGACTTGTTCCAAGCTCTTTACAACAATCCTCTCATACCCTCCTTACAGCTCAATCAATTAACAATGGAAACACAATTTTGGAAAGTATGGCCATCTCATTTAAAGAAACAAATTGCAAGCACTTTAGAAACATTCATCCAGCCACATAAAAATGTTTCTTAGCCAATTTGTTTCGCTTTCCACAAAGCCATGGTTAAGGTGGTCTAAGGTAAGTTGGCCAAACTTGTGAGAGGTCTGGAAAAGGCAGTGGGTTAAGAGGCAGGACTTGGCAGTTTCTCCTGTTCATTGGCCAGGTGGCCTCAGGTAAGTTATTAATAATCTCTCTGGTCTCAGTTTCCTTAACTATAAATCAGTGATAATAAATAATAGTCCCTCACACAACTATCAAGACAATTAAGTCCCTATAAATGTTCTCATGCTTGCAAAGCTCTTAGTGCAACGTCTGACACATGTTGTTAAGTACTTAATAACACCTGGCTATTATTATCATGCTATCATTAAGAGTAAGATGTCAGTGCCTTTAAGAATATTCTGTAATTTATGCATTTTCAGCAGTCAAAACTAAACCCCCAGTCATATTACAAAAAAATCTTTATTTTTTTTACAAAAATTTTTTTTTTTTTTTTTTTTTTCCCCGAGACAGAGTCTCGGCTCTGTCGCCCAGGCGCTGGAGTTGCAGTGGCAGGTCTCGGCCTCACTGGCAAGCCTCATCCCCGGTTCACACCATTCTCCTTGCCTCAGCCTCCCACAGTAGCTGGACTTTACAGGCGCCGCCACCAACAGCCCTGGCTAATTTTTTGTATTTCTCTAGTATAGACAGGGTTCCGTCCTCCCCTGTGTTGCCGAGGATGTCTCAATCTCCTGACTCGTGATCCGCCCGCTGGCCTCCCAACAGTGCTGGGATTACCAGGCGTGAACCACCGCGCCCCCTTTTTTTTTTTTTTTTTTTTTAGAGTAGATTCTCTCACTTTGCCCAGATACGGAGTGCAGTGCGCAATCTTGGCCTCACTGGGCAAGCTCCGCCCTCCCGGTTCACCCCATTCCTCCTGCCTCAGCCTCCAAGCAGTAGCTGGGCTACGGCACCTGCCACCATGCCTGTGGCAATTTTTTGTTATTTTGTAGAGACCGGGGTTTTCCCGTGTCACGCCAGGATGGTCTCGATCTCCTGACCTGGTGATCCACCTGCCTTGGCCTCCCAAAGTGCTGGGATTACAGGCATGAGCCACCACGCTTGGCCACAAAAAGTCTTTTTTAAAACAGGTGGGTCGTTGAGGCTTAGAGAGGTTAAGTGACTAGCTTATAGTTACAGCCTACAGTAGTAGAGTTCAACATTGAACCCATGTCTGGGTTCATGGACTTTCTACCACACTTCATTGTTTCTACAGAAAATCATAAAATGATTGCCAAGGCTCAGTTTTCTCCTGTGAGCTCAATTTCTGTTTTCTTTCCTTGATTTCAGTTTCCTTCTTTAAGGAAGAAAAGAAAGTGTTTTCCTGGATACCAGATATGCTGAGTTGGGAAACGAGCTAAGGACAGAGGTGAGGAAACCTGCAGACAACACCAACATGCTCCTCATCTTTGAATCCCAGCAAACCTTTCCACTGTGTGTGTGTGTGTATGTATATCTGTGTGTAAGTGGTGGTGGGACAGGGGGTGGTGGGTAGGATGGTGGGATGTTGGGATTGCTGAGTGGGAATAGGCAGTGGGAATGTCAAGAGTACTTTTGTTGTTGTTGTTGTTGTTTGAGACAGCATCTCACTCTGTTCCCCAGGCTGGAATGCAGTTGCTGATCACCTGCAGGCTTGAACTCCAGGGTTCAAGAGATCCTCCTACTTCAGCCTCCTGAGCAGCTGGGACTACAGGTGTGCACCACTATGCTGGGCTAATTTGAGACGAAGTCTGGCTTTGTTGCCCAGGCTGGAGTGCAGTGGCACGATCTTGGCTCACTGCAAGCTCCGCCTCCTGGGTTCCCGCCATTCTCCTGCCTCAGCCTCCCGAGTAGCTGGAACTACAGGCACCCACCACCATGCCTGGCTACTTTTTTGTATTTTTAGTAGAGACAGGGCTTTACTGTGTTAGCCTGGATGGTCTCAATCTCCTGCCCTCGTGATCCGTCCACTTCAGCCCCCCAAAGTGCTGGGATTACAGGTGTGAGCCACCATACCTGGCCTTTTTTTTTTTTTTTTTTTTTTTTGAGACAGAGTATTGTTCTGTCACCCAGGCTGGAGTGCAGTGACACGATCTCGGCTCACTGCAAGCTCCGCCTCCCTGGTTCACACCGTTCTCCTATCTCAGCTTCCCAAGTAGCTGGGACTACAGGCGCCCACCACAATGCGTGGCTAATTTTTTGTATTTGTGGTAGAGATGGGGTTTCACCATGTTAGCCAGGTTGGTCTTGATATCCTGACCTTGTGATCCGCCCGTCTCGACCTCTCAAAGTGCTGGGATTATAGGCATGAGCCACTGCACCATACTGGGCTAATTTTTAAATTTTTTTATAGATGGGATCTTGCCTTGTTGCCCAGGCTGGTCTCGAAGTCCTGGCTTCAAGCAATCCTCCCACCTTGGCCTCCCAAAGTGCTGGGGTTGTAGGCATGAACCACCACACCCAGCCAAGGGAGTATTTTTCTTCCCTTTCATTGATTCCAATAGATTGTGAGGAGCACAGGAGGGAGGAGAATCTAATTTTTATTTCATTTCTACCATTCATTTTCTCCTATGCAAAATCAAGGTTTGGGCTTGATGGGCTATCTTCAATTTTTTCTCTGGTGCTAATGTACTGATTCCATGTATAAGCAAATTAGAGAGCCCACGTAAACAGTATGGTGCCTGGTACAGGGTGGGTGTTCAATGAATGGCAACTGTCATTATTATTCACCCAGCACATTATATTCCTGAAAACCAGGAACTCCTTCCTGTCTGACCCACAGTAGTGGTGGAGAGGGTCAAGGGCGATAATGATCATGGATGTGCTTAGGAGACGTAAGGTGAGGTATACCAGTACACCATCATGGAGCAGTCGCTGCTCTCCCTGTGCCTTCAGTGTGCGTGGTCTGTACCCCTCAGTCATTCCTTATCCACTCTACAGATTTTACTGAGAATTGCTATGAGCTGGGCACCGTTCTAGGCACTGCAGGCACCATGGCTAGTAAGACAGGCAAAGACCTGCCATCTGGAGCTTGTATGGGTGTAGGGTAGGGGGACGGGGAGAAGGGAGATAAACAAAAAACAAGTAAATTTACACTCCTTTATTGTGAATCATCTTTTCACTGGTCTTGTCTTAACTCCATGAAAACAGTGACAGTGTCCTGTGTGTTTTCTATTTATTTGTATTCTCCACCTGCTTTCCAATAAATGCCTTAGACATGCTGTTAAATCAATGCTGATTAAGTCATACTAACTTCTTGTAGCATCTTGATTAAATGGGCTCTCTAGAGTCAGACTTCTAGGTTCAAAATCCAGCTTTATGACTTATTATTTATTTATGTATTTTTAATAATAACTGTATTTTTAATACACATATTTACAACATGATGTTTTGATATACATATACATAGTAAAATGATTATTGCAGTTAAACAAATTAATGTATCCATCTCTTCATACAGTTACCTCTATTTTTGTGTGTGTGGTGAGAGCACCTGAAATCTCTTCTCTTAGAAAATTTCCAGTATTCGGCCAGGTGCAGTGGCTCATGCCTGTAATTCCAGCACTTTGGGAGGCCGAGGTGGGTGGATTACCTGAGGTCAGGAGTTTGAGACCAGCCTGGTCAATATGGTGAAACCCGGTGTCTACAAAAAATACAAAAATTATCCAGCCATGGTGGCACACACCTGTAATCCCAGCTACTCAGGAGGCTGAGGCAGGAGAATTGCTTGAGCCAGGGAGACGCAGGTTGCAGTGAGCCGAGATTGTGCCACTGCACTCCAGCCTGGCTGACAGGGAAAGATTCTGTCTCCAAACAAAAAAAAAAAAGAAAATTTCCAGTATTCAATACAATATTATTAACTATACAGTAGTCCTCCCTTATCTATATTTTGGTTATTCTGGTTTTGCTTACTGCGGTTTCAGTTACTCTTGGTCAACCATGGTCAGAAAATATTAAATGGAAAATTCCAGATATAAACATTTACATAACTTTTATTACAGTATATTGTTATAATTGTTCTATTTTGTTATTATTGTTGTTAATCTCTTACTGTGCCTAATTTATAAAGTTTATCACAGGTAGTATAGGAAAAAACACACAATGTAATAGTATATAACAGGTACTATCCATGGTTTCAGGCATCCACTGGGGGTCTTGGAACATCCACCACAGATAAAGGGGCACTGCTGCAGTCCTCATACTGCACATTCGATTCTGCATAACCACAACTTTGTGCCCTTTGAGCAGAATCTCCCAATTCCTCTTACAGCCCCACCACTGGTAGCCAAAGTTCTACTCTTTGCTTCCATGTATTTGACTTTTTTTGATTCCACATGTAAGTGAGATCATGTAGTATTTTCCTTTCTGTGTCTGCCTTGCTATTATTAATGATGACTTTGAACAAGTTGCTTACTTTCTCTGGGCCTAAACTTCTTCATCTGTAAAGTAAGATATTGAACCTAACCTGTTTGGGGCAATGGAGCCATTTAAGAATCTGATGAGGGCTGGGCACAGTGGCTTATGCCTGTAATCCCAGCACTTCAGGAAGGGGAGGCGGGTGGATTGCTTGAGCTCAGGAGTTCAAGACCAGCCTGGGCAACATGGCGAACCCCATCTCTACTAAAAATACAAAAATTAGCTGGGCATGGTGGCACGCCTGTAGTCCCAGCTACTCCGTGGGGAGGCAGGAGGATCGCTTGAGCCCAGGAGGCAAAGGTTGCAGTGAGCCAAGATCGAGCCATTGCACTCCAGCCTGGGTGACAGAGTGAGACCCTGCCTCAAAAAAAAAAGAAAAGAAAAAAAAGAAAAGAAAGGGCCAGGCGCGGTGGCTCACGCCTGCAATCCCAGCACTTTGGGAGGCCGAGGCGGGCATATCACCTGAGGACAGGAGTTCGAGACCAGTCTGGCCAATGTGGTGAAACCACATCTTTACTAAAAATGCAAAAATTGGCTGGGGATGGTGGCAGGTGCCTGTAATCCCAGCTACTTGGGAGGCTGAGGTAGGATAATTGCTTGAACCCGGGAGACGGAGGTTGCAGTGAGCCGAGATTGTGCCACTGCAGTCTAGCCTGGATGACAGAGCAAGACTGTCTCAAAAAAAAAAAAAAAAAAAGCCCAGTGCCATGGCTCACACCTGTAATCCCAGCACTTTGGGAGGCCAAGGCAGGAGGATCACTTAAAAAAAAAAAAAAAAAAAGCCCAGTGCCATGGCTCACACCTGTAATCCCAGCACTTTGGGAGGCCAAGGCAGGAGGATCACTTGAGGTCAGGAGTTTTAGACCGGCCTGGCCAACATGGTGAAACCCCGTCTCTACTGAAAGTACAAAAAAGTTAAACAGGCGTGGTGGCACATGCCTGTAGTCCCAGCTACTTGGGAGGCTGAGGCAGGAGAATGGCTTTAACCTGGGAGGCAGAGGTTGCAGTGAGCAGAGGTTGCACCATTGCACTCTAGCCTGGGCCACAGAGCAACACTCTGTCTTTAAAAAAAAAAAAAAAAAAAAAGGAACCTGATGAGGATGTGAGGGTGATCTGGTTGCAACATCTGTCACCCTATTGATCACCAGGGTTGGTTCTGTTACCGACCATAGTTTCTTGGGTTCTCAATGCAATAGAAATTGACATGAGGCCGAAAGAGTTTTCCCAGACAAGACTTCATTGGAGCTTTTGCCTGGACATAAGGGAGACAGCACAAGAGAGAATTCCCTGACTGACTCTGTGCAAATAGCTGGTAAGGCATTTTAATTAGGCAAAGCGTGAGAATTGACATCAGGGGTAGGGTACGCAGGCTGGGCTGGGCAAAACATGTGAGTGGTAGGGTATGCAGGTTAGCATTATCTGGTTGTAATGGTTATCTTGAGGAATGGGCTAACTGGTGGTCTGGCTGGGGCAACAAGTCTGTAAATCAGTTGTTCAGCATTCCTTCCTGAGGTGGAATACTCCACAACCTTGGTTTGATACTTGGATTTCCTAAGGCCAGTTCCTGGAATTTATGAAGTAAAAGACATGGTTAAACATGGTGTCAGTGAGATAGTGGTGTGCAGTTTGTGGCCAGTGGGAATGCATGAAAGAAAGCTCTAGTGCTGGTGAGCTGCAGCCAAGTCCCATTCCTGGTCGGTCTCAATTTGGCTGATCTAGCTGGCTAGGCCCGTGTCCCCTTCTCTCTCTACCGTTCCATGTGTGTCCCTCCTGAAGCTGCACACTTGGTTTAATCACCCAATGGGTTCTTCTTGCTTGCTGCCCAGATAGAGCAAGTTTATCAAGACACAGGAATTGCAATAGAGAAAGAGTTTGATACAAATAGAGCCAGCTAAACAGGAGACAGGGGTTTTATTATGACTCAGATCAGCCTCCCTGAAGATTTGGAGGCTCGGGTTTTTTAAAGGTAGTTTGGCGGGTAGGGGGCGAGGGAAGCGGGAATGCTGATTGGTTGGGTCAGGGATGAAATTATAAGGAGCTGAAGCTGTCCTCTTGCACTGAGTCGGTTCCTGGATGGGGGTCAGAAGACCAGATGAACCAGTTTACTGGTCTGGGTGGTGCCAGCTGATCCATCAGAAGGCAGGGTCTGAAAAATACCTCAAACACCAATCTTAGGCTTTACAATAATAATATTCGCTACAGGAGCAACTGGGGAGGTTAGTGAT